CTGAGGAAGGAGTTACATCGTGCTGAGAATTTCGTTTTTGCGATCGCGTTTTCTCGCAGAGACGACAGTAACGCGTTGTTCACCTAATCTCCCTCGGATATTTACTTCGGAAACGTCGTCACTCCGTACTTTTCTCTCCCATTATTCAATCTCAGAGGTAGTTTCTCCTCATTTATTTAATCGATTCCTTTAATCGTGCGATTCTCAAAGAAACGCGCACCTTTGTTTTGTTTTCTTAATACGTCAAGCGTTAGACATAGAACGATACATTAGATCTCCTTGATTCATCGATTAGAACATGAGGATAAGAGTATGTTCGACGTTGTTTATAAAGCGATAATCGATTATGCTTCGTTCTGCGTTTAGATCCTAAAGCTCCTAGAAACGATGTTCTTATCTTATTATTAAATCTTTCTATGGAACCACACGTAATATCCCAGCAGATTGACCTTTCCATTAGATATTCGCGGTAATATCGAATTTCGGGTCAAACGACAAAAACTTCAAGAATTTTCTTTCATCTAGAAACATGATGACGTTGGCGAACAACCGAACCGAAAGTTCAACCACTTTTCAGGAAATATCTAATCTTTTTTGAGTATGTATATACCTATCTATATGCATACATGTATACATACATGCATACATGTAATATGCTTATTTTATCGACGAAAATTGAAAATAATTTAGTATGAAGTAAACTAAATTTATGTAAAATACGAAATAAGGCATTTCAATTATATTTTTATTGATCGCAATCGCGTCCTTTCGACATTAGTTAATGGATGAAAAAAAAATATCTTCTACGTACTGTCGATAAAAATAAATTCTGAAAAAAAAAGAATTCACTCTTGGAATGAAATATTTTCATCAAGTTTTAACATTTTGTACATGTACCTTGAAACATTATAGAATTTCATCTGTGAAATACCAATTGTCAGTGATTTAACGAAAACTCGTTAAAACGTTTTCTTCGACTCCTTTTTAACAGTGCATTATTAAATGATATAACTTCGAATCTGACGACGGTATTCTCTCACGAAGAATTTCATGAATTCAAGAGAAAGAGAGATAGAGACAGGGATAAAGAGAGAGAGAGAGAGAGAGAGAGAGAGAGAGAGAGAAAGAGAAAAAAAAATATGAATCAAGTTCACATTTTCAATTTATTAATGTGCACTCAAGTCATATTTACGGTGGAAACATTTCGATTCTTATTTTATCCTCGATCGATACGTAAATATTTGTGACAGCGCTATCGGAAATGCGTATAACGTTTTCTCGAATATCTTCTCGATTTACATTAGTAAAAATATAGCCACTTTCAAAGTCAAACGCACCTGCATCATTTTATTTAACTCCGAACTCTATCCTTCTATAGAAAAAAAAGAAGAAAGAAAAAAAGGAGAGAGCAAAAAAAGAAAAGAAAAGAAAAGAAAAAAGAAAAAGAAAAAAATGTTTCTTCGCATTGTCCGCTTCAATTCAAAATAAAAGAAATACAAATATCTTTCTCGGAAACTAAATAAATTAGAGGGACGCACTTTCAACAAATTGTACGGCCACCGACTAGAGACCCATTCGTATTTTTACGCAAAAGCTAACTTTCTGAAACGTCCCTCTCAAAGAAAATTACATTTTTTCCCCTTATAATTTGTAATCCTTTTTCTTTTCTTTTATTAATTTTTTCTTCTTCCTCCTTTTTCACTCTTTTTCCTTTTCATTTTTATTTTTATTTTTTATTTCTTAACTCAACGATAACGAATTTACTTAAGCACTTACCTTCGCATGTAAGTAAACCTGATGCGTTATTATGTTAGTATATTTATATCCTCCGGAATAATAATAATAATAATAATAATAATAATAATAATAATAATAATAATAATAATAATAATAATAATAATAATAATAATAATAATAATAATAATGATAATAATAATAATAATAATAATAATAATAATAATAATAATAACAATAACAATAATAATAATAATAATAATAATAAAAACAATAATAGTTACATAAAATAATAATAAATAGAAACACCTAGCAAACTCGTATTTCTGTTTTCCAATAAAATTCTACATTCTGTGCTTTCTTCCTTCTTGAACTTATCCAACGAAGTGTAAACGAAAACGAGCTTCGTCAGAATGTACCGTTTCTAAATCATGGGAGCAACATTAACTTAACAAAGCAATTCGTTTCATGAACCGCAACGAAAGCCTGCAATAAATTCGCTCTATTTACGCAAGCTGCTGTTACGGTACGAAAGCTAACTCGTAGAGCCATTGTTATAAAATGCCGAAAGACTAGGTGTGAAGGACAATTTTCTCTGGCGAAAAGCGTTGCTCTTCTCGTATTGCTCTATTACCAACCCTCGCAATACGTACACATGCACGCGCGTGTACACACACATACTTACATACATACATATACACATACACGAACACACAAAATGTACCAGAATCCCGAAAACTTCTTACTACGGGCCGCTCGTTATTTTGTAAAAAGAGAAAAAGTAACAATCAAATGTTATGGCGTGCTCTATATAGCGGTCAACAAAACTTTGTTAACTTTCAAAACATTTTGCTGTTCATAAAATGTCAGGAGACAACCGAGGAAAAACAAAAAATAAAGAAAGAAATATAGGAATAAAATTCGAAGAATCGATCGGCTGGAAAAGAATCAAGTTTTCGAAATAAGATGTGATTTAGTTAGTGATACTTTTTTCTCCAATTTATCATTTTATTACTTATAATGATTCCGATTGATAATATATTTCCTCACGTTCTCTTTCTCATTGTAAGAGAGCAATACGTTTGCAGAATTAACAATCAAATTGAAAATATTTTCAGAAATAAATATAGATTTATCTATAATCTAAAATATGTTTGCTTTTCGTAATTTTTCTTTTTTTTTTTAATGTAAACATTATAATTGTTTCATTTATGTATTATATGTTATTAATAAAATCAACTTAAAATACTCGGAAGATATTATTAACATTTGTTATTTTTATAATTTGTTTTATAATTAATAAACTTTAACAATATAGTGAACGTCAAAAACGTAATGGATAGAAAAATCGAAGAATTATGTTTTTTAAAATTTTAGTGGCTACTTTCAGTTAGAAAGCTTTGATAAGAAGCTTTACGGTTACTCTACTCTGACGAGAAGTTTTTTTATCAGAAACGTAACATCGACTTTCCGTGATAACTTTCGAGCGACGTGCGAACCATATGCAATTCGAATCGTTCGTGTAAATCTCCTCTATGCGTCAAATTTGCATGACGCACGGGCACTGTGATATCGTGGAACGTTCATTAAATTTATCAAATTGAACGATCGAACGGTTCGTTCGAAATCAAAAAATATAGTGAGTCACTAAAATATTCGAATACTTTTTCAAATTGAGTAACTTTTTGTAACCCAGACAAAATGTTCTGAATTTTTGAATAGATAAAGAGAAATTTGTAGGCAGTGTCAAGTATTCGAAGAATGAAAAATAAATGAGCATTTGTTGCAGAAGGTATGTGAGAAAAGAAATAAAAAAATTTTTTTTAAGATGTTTTTTAAAAAAATAAGACTATTTAATATTTTTACAATTTTTAAAAAGTCATCCGATTAATTATGTAATTAAATAGATGAATCGTTAAACATTCATATGAAAATCTCGTTTCCATGTTACATTAAAGTGACAAAATTAAAACGATTCAATGATAATCTCATTGTGAAGATAATTAAGTTAGAGTGCAATGCAATAAAAAATAAGATGAAAAATATGAAAATATGAAAATATGAAAAAAGCTTTATAATGGGCGAACAATATTTGAACAAAACGTGTTACGTCTACCTCGTTGTTTACTTGTAGAGTATCGTAAAAAGCATAAAGTATATGTAAAGTACATACAATACATACAATACATACGTATGTATGTATATATATATATATATATATATATATATATATATATATATATACTATTACGAAAAACCGAAAATAAAAGAGAAAATAGCAGATGTCTAGCTTTACAGAAAGTTTCTATTGTTTCCACCACGTACGGATTATTAATAGAACAAAAACAATAGGATTCACGTGAAAGCAATAGTTAATTTCATAAATGTTGATGACGATATGTAAATGCGAATATAGCAAAAGTGACTACATCTACTTCTCGAATTTTTAAGTCGATCGAATTTATTTAGGGAATAAAAAAAAAGGAAAAAAAAAAATCTTCAATCCGATAAAAAGAATGGTTTTGTTTGTACGAATAAGATGAATGTTAAGAAGTCATTATAAACGATTCGAAAGAAAAAGCTCCTCGCGTCGTTTTAAGGAGAAAGTTCGAAAGGACAAAAAGGACGTCTGACCTTCGTTAATTCTTCACAACTTGTCCTAACAAGGACGCGTGAGCTACTCCAGTTTAACTTTGTGCCGAGAGTCTAACCTGTTGCCGGTGACTCCATTAATAATTGGTTTTTATAAATAACAAAAATCGATCTCGATAGAATATAAAGTACTTGTTAATATTTATATTAATCGCTTTGTTAAGTCTAATGCGAATGTAATTGATCAAGTTGAAAGTTATAGAACAATTTCGAACGTATCATCTCTTTTTAATTTCTTTCTTTCTTTCTTTCTTTCTTTTTTTCTTTCTTTTTGTTCGTTCGTTTGCTTTTGCTTTTCTATTTAACAAAACGATCTGGATTATTCCACATAACGGCATATGCCGCCAATTCTAGTTACGCAGGTATGTGCGTAACTAGAATTAATCTAGCAACCGAAACGTCCATATACTGTAAATATTTACACTAGATGCATTTATTTCACCATTCCTACATTTTTTTTGGTTTAATTTATCATTGGTTAACATGCCGGCAGGCACGTAAAAGCATTCGAAAACGTATCGATTATTCTACACGATTTAATTGGCGGGAATTAGATCGTACAATTTTAACGAACGCTCGTTACTCTCTTTTGCTTTGTCAGAGAATAAACTCACCAACTTCAGCCAAAGATTCGTGATGAGCAGTTGATTCTTCTCGTCCTAAAACACAAAAAAGAAAATATTTCTTAATTAATGCATCGAAAGGTACAGGAGTTCTATTTATATGTACGTACAATTATTCATAACATCAATAACTCCAAATATCAAACAAATAGGTAGTCAAATCGATAAGATAATAAAAGTGTTAAAAACACTGTATGGAATTACGCTAATTAAATAATAAATATGATTACATTATTCGCGTTTTAAGAGCGAATAGAATTGTTAGTTTGTGTGAACTATCCCGTTGTGAAGCAGAGATGTTTTGTTACAACGAAACTTTATAATTAATACGCATAACGATTCTAAGAATTCAAAAAGTGTTTACTTCTGCATTTTTTGAATTTGCGATGCAATTTACACACGTAACATACAACAGTTACATATATACAAAAATATTAAAATCTTTTTTATGAAACAAGACATTATTTACTCTCTTATTAAATTAATTAGAGCATGAATTTATCTAATAATGTGACAAAACATTTTCAACAATTAAATAATTTGTAAGCATTTTCATTTAACACTTTCGTAGAATATGATACATGAATATATGTTAAAATATTATTTGTCTTACATAAATCTTTCTTCCTATTAACTAAGTACATATATATATATATATATATTTTGTTTTATTCATGAAAAAATGTCATATGTTAGCAAGCTTTTTCTCCGATACCGTACTCTTCGAAACTTATGGCAAAGAATTGTCGATATCCATTAAGGGACCGCATCTGTGTTCGATTCTAATATTATGGTAAATACATATGTCGATGGATGTACAATAACACTCTTTGCTTGTCTCGAAATATCCATATATTCAAACTTAATCGATGAAGAAAATATAATAAGAATGGATTATTAATGGATTATTGCGAATTGATAATAATTTTTTAAAAAATGTTGAAATGATAAAAAAAGAAAAAAATAAATTTAAAAAATGAGTAGAAACGAATATAGAAATTTCATTCAATTGTCAAAGGAGCGAGAAAGCAAAAAGAAAGAGAGAGACAGAGAGAGAGAGAGAGAGAGAGACAAAGAGAGAGAGAGAAAGAAAAAGAGACAAAGAGAGAGACAGAGAAAGAGAGAGAGAGAGAGAGAGACAAAGAGAGAGAGAGAGACAAAGAGAGAGAGAGAGAGAGAGAAAGAAAAAGAGACAAAGAGAGAGAAAGAGAGAGAAAGAGAGAGAGAGAGAGAGAGAGAGAGAGAGAGAGAGAGAGAGAGAGAGAGAGAGAGAGAGAAAAGCGTGCATGGATAGCTCGTTAAATCTCTCTCCTTTCAACGAATTCACTGAATGAACGCTGACCTACATAAATTTCTGAAGAAGGTCTCGAAAAGAGTGACTAGATCGTAGTGGGGATAATTCGTTGAAGAAAAAACTAGATATAATATAAATAATTAAAAAAAAACATACATATACACACATATAATATTTATTCAAAAAATATACGAAGTGATTTTTATTGTACAACTTTTTTCGAATTGTATATAGATATTTCTCTATTCCCATTAAACAATTATCATCGTTCGATTTGCAACAAATATTTTTTTTAAGCTAACAAATATACAAATAAACGCGTTCGATATTTTCCAGAGATGTATCTGCCATGTATCGTTTGATATATGCGAAATAGGATTTTACATAAAGAATATCATATCCTATAAAACTGTCTTTACTGATAGCATGGATAAGAGGATTCTATCTTCCTTCTCCGTCTCTCTTATATCTTTCTAAGAAATGTCTGTAATTTAAGGGGAAGGAATAAAATGAACCTCTCGTTGTTCTACCTCTTTTACTTTCTACCTTTTTTAGTCTTGGCGCATATACGTTCTTCCATTCGTCGTTTAAAAATCCTTTGCGCCGAAATATTGCCAACCCTTGTCACGTATAGCAATAGATCCTCTACTCTCCCTCTCTCTCTCTCTCTCTATTTCCTTCTTCTTCTTCTTTCTTTTTATTCAACAATGCTTTCATCATGATTACAAGTGTGTTTCGCATATACGACTGGTGGATTCTCGACAAATATAGCTAAATACATGTTGTCGACATTTGCGAGCAAACTCGAAATATACGTTTAAATTGAACGATCTCTCTACTACATGTTTCTTACATATCTTACATATGTATACGATCATCTTATATATATATATGTATGTACATAGGTACATCTGTTTATGCACTTACGTTACTACTATGCCTACATATGCTGCTTTCTTTTGCATTGGCTACCACAATCAAAATAAGTTCGTTTTCTCAATAACAAAATCGCACCAATACAAATATCACACGACACTCATATCATACTCTTATCAATATCAAATCATACTCTTCTTTTATCATAGACTCTTATATTCAATGATATTCATGAATTTCATATACTTATATACATTCGTACGTATGTATGTACATACTCTACTCGAATATCCTTTTTAAAGATGAAAAATTCATATTCACAGTTTTGAGGAAAAAAAAAAGAAAAGAAAAAAAGAAAAAATAAATGGTAAAGAAAATATAACTTCTTTTATTCGTCTGTTACACTATCGGCAATGTGAGAGAGAAAATCACTTTAAATAATTCGACAATTCGCATTGCTGATTTTCTTTTTTTCTTTTATTTTTTTTATTTTCTCCTTTTTTTTCAACAAACATACTCGTATTTTAAACTCACACTTAGACATTCCATGCACGTCCCAGAGAAGAGAAATTCCTGAAATGGTCTTATCGAAGTTTAAGTGAGCGACAAGCAAATCACAAATCACGAGTTACAGTTTACTCGTAATTTGTAATGGAATATAATTTACTTCGTGTTTACCGATTTGTGGTAAACACTTAATAGTCTTAACTTTTGACATCACTCCAAACAAAAAAATAGAAAATTGATTTTAAAAGAGCGTAAAACGTTGAAATTACTTTGTTAATTATATAAATGAAAACAACATTGTTAGAATTTTATCGTGCTTACTTTTATTTTAATAGTTAAAAGAGATTATTTGAAATCGTTTTAAAGACAATTATTATAATTCTTTAATTTCTCGATAGGACAAATCAAAGTGGAAAAAAGGATGACGAAGCAAGCAATATTACATTGGATCGCCTTGAATTTCGTTACCTGTATTCATCAGGAGTGGCTGCAATTACTAACAAGGTCAAGGCAATTAATAAATTGCAATAAGCTAGCTCGTCGTCGTCGTCGTCGTTTACATTGTTGAGAACGATGGTGTTCTTTTCTGACCAATAAACGAGTCTCAATTATGAAAAGAAAATCTACCTGGGCTCATTAATAACGTTGGAAAGACTAGGCTTGTGACGAAGGTCGTCGTCGATAAAACAATCGTATCTCATGACCTTCGATTGAATTCGAAAAGATCGATCGATGCCCAGTCTAAGGATAAACTTCATTGCGTATTAACGTAGCCTTTGAAGTTCCTCGATCGACGATAACGATATTAAATCCGTTTTTACACAATGTCAAACAATTTTCTTCCTTCGAATAATTAAAAACGATTATATAATAAAAAAAAAATAAATAAAAATTGATCGATATAAAACACTTAAAAGATAGATTTACCTAATATAATATGTACAATCCAATTCGTACCCACGATTTACATCCAAACAGTATGCCTAACGACGCTCGACTGAATTAACCTTTTCTATTGCTATACGCCCAAACCAATTATTCATATAAACAAATACGAACGACATATTTCATGTACTTACATATGTACATACGCCGCAGATTTAATTACCATATCCGTCGTTGTCCTTTTGTTTCATACGAAAGATCAAACCACATTGCGTTTCCGTTTATTAAGTCATTCTTGAAAAGTGAATTTCAACGATAGATTTTGACAATTCACGCAATACCATATTTTTTCAAAACAATTAATTTACTAGTTTATATAATTGTTTAGCACTTCGTTAAAATCACAAGGAACAATTATTACTATATGATAATGCGTTACAGATATATACAGACGTTCCAAGAATTTCAAATATGATTTAATAACATCATACTTGATATACGATCGTAATTTGTAAAATGAATAAATCATTTATAGAAAATATTTTTCTTTTTAAATTATATTTATTTAACATTAACAGAAACTATTGCGTACTCCAAAGAATACGAAATGATTGCTTGGATAATTTCAAGAATATGTACCGAGAGTCCGTCGTGTCATTTCGGCATACGATGTAAGCTCGTCTTAAGCCGAAGCTTAAACCTGAGCTTAAAGTTAACTCGGTTACGCGAGTGTTTGGTCAACATCGGTCTGTTCCGCCCTCAAGCTTTTAGCTTCGCTCTTCAAAGCATATCGAAACGGACATATCCACTTAGTTTAGAGGTGATCAACTAGAGAAACTAACCGGTCGTATTTCGATCTTATTTCCTCATAATCGTTATCTCAGAAATAGTAGTCTCAAATTCGTTATTGTCCTTTTACTTTTTATTTTTATTTTTTTTCCCAAAAATAAGTCCATTTCTAATCCAGAACTATCTCTAATCCTTCGTTATTCCTCACATCTCGATCAACCTTTCTTCTTTCTTTCTCTTCATCTCAATCTCAATCTCAATCTCAATCTCAATCTCAATCTCTCTCTCTCTCTTTTTCTTTATTTCACTTGCTCACTCTTAGCGAAATAAACTGTTTTTCGATAATTGAATCTTATCATTTACTCCCTTCCTCGATCTCGCACTCAAAGAATAGTTGGTCGAATTCGTTCTAAAGGTCGAGGTTAAGTCGAACCAATAGCATTCACCATTCTATGTTATCTTTTTTTCGCATAATTCAACATCTCATTAGAAGTTTTCATTAGTACGCCTTTGGGATGAGTTAACTAATGCGTCACGGTTGCCAGATCGCGTCTTCTTGTTCGTTTAAAAGTAATAACGATGGGCATAGAGGCAATCTTGCTAACTGTTCCTTCGACTTTCCTTATTTACCATAGCAAAGTCATGATAATCTTTTTCGCAAAACTGGTAAGTAATACAAGAACGG